TTCATGGAACATGATCTTTACTTAATATCCTAATGATTTTTGGCATAAAAGAAAAATTGATCATTTTGACCCATACAATGTTTTTTTGGCTATTGCTACAAATATACCCCAGCGACTTAAGACTGGTTTTGTGCTCCAGGGTCACATATATACGCAACAATTAGTCCATGTAACATTATGTGTCAACTACAGATTTGTAGAGTACTGTATTATACACATTGTATTCATACAAACTACATGTAAAAACGTATATATTGTGTTATGTGTATACAAACTTCTGTATGCATGACATACAAAATTGCACAACAGAACAAAACTGAGCATGGATGAGTGCATTGTTTCTCAGTGAAATCTGAACTTGTGTGAAGCTCAGGCACTCACCTGTCTGCGGAGCACCATGAACTGGACAGCAGTACCTGTGTCCTCTTCAGGACTGAGCCAGAACTCCTGCGAGGCACTGTGGGACAAAAATAGATGTTAACAAAAACTTCAACATCTTTCCACTGAAACCTACATAACGCCCTCCCTTACATCACTGACTGATTTACTTCATTCAACGGGCTTCCAACACAATCTGTTATGATAAAAACCCTACATAAACAACTAAACAGGAAGTGTTTGCTTGCTCAGCAGAATTCCATTATTGTATACATGGAAATTGCATGAGCCACTGTCACCTTGTCCTGCTTTGATCAGGTTGAACCTCCACAGCCTGAGAGGGATGGTTTTCTGGGTAACCAAACCTTAAAACACAAGAGAGACACCAGGAACCACAGCAGTCCACAATGAACATGATTTCGTGAACGATTCCATTCAAGATGAGAAGAAAGGGGGGGACTAAAAGCTCAAAGCTCAGTTTTAGAATGCTTAAGGTGCTTGTTAGTTGCTCAGGTAAAGCAATAGCAGTGAATTCAATCAAAGCCCAAAGCTCTGATGTGAATTTGCAGGCATGAAAGGTGCACCAACTCTAGGATCCTGACAGAAAGCCTAGTCTGAGGCAGTTCCATCAGAAACAACCAAACCAAACAACAGGGATTCAAAGGTCAGAGCAAACAGCTGAATATCATAATAGTTAGAGCCCACAACCGCAGGAAGGGGACAGGCAGGGTGTGAAGGATGAGGGTCCGTGTCACCTGGAGGAGTATTTTGTGGTGACGGTCTGGAGGAGTTTCTGAGACGCCTGCTGGCCCAGCTCCTTGGCGGCCTGCAGCATGCTCTGTGGGGACAGCAGGTTGGGTGGGATGGAGGGGAGTCCTGGGGGCTTTGGTGGGGACGGGTCTGTATGCACGACAGGTGGGCGTCCAATACTGCGGCTATTGCGGACAGGGAAGGGAGAGTACGGACATAGAGGAGCACCGCTGTTATTTAAAGACTGACACTAGCTGTATCACACAAACCTGACACGATTCATTTGAACGGGTTTGTTTAAATAAATGTCTCATCAGATAAATGAGTCTGGTAAATAAGCTTCTCATTTAGCACAGAAGGTGAGGTGAACTGACCAAATGCAACAATCAACCTCTCCTGCTCTCTAGAGGCTGTTTAGTGGTAGTGAGACATGTATGTAAAGGCTATACATACTGTAGTAATTCTCTGGGAAAATATCAGGAAAATGTTGTATTAGGGTAGCTGACAATGAAATACATTTAGAAAGTTGTTTAAATCTAAATTGAAAACAACATTTGCTAGTTCTTTACAATCACGCCACTTTTATAAGCTATGTTGTACTTTTTGTATCTGTCACACCTGGACCATTTAAAAATGAACTAGAAAAGTTTAAAATTGTGATTAAAACCTTTGAACCTGTTGATCTGTTACAGGATATATACTTTTGATTATACAATTTAACTTGGAATCTTGATGTTGAGAATAAAAGACTATGTAGGATAGTGTCAACCACCAATTTGTAAATGACTATATTATGTACACTGTATTCATGTAATACAAAATATGTTTTAAGGATATACACCAATATACATATTGAAAAATGTACTATGCAAAATCCTCTCTTCTTTACATTTTCAAATAAAATATAAAAACGTATATTTGACAGCAGAGACATTTATGTTACAAAACAGAAACGAATCCTGCAAAAAATGATGAAAAAAATTTTAAGCAGCAAAATACTGTCATCAACACTGATAATACTAAATCATTAATAATAACTGAAAACAAAAAAAGAATAAATCAGAATGATTTCTAAAGGTTCATGTGGTAGTAATAACTGCTGAGAAGTCAGCTTTTCCATTACAGTAAAAAAAAAAATATATATAAATAAAAAATTATCACGATTAATTGAATCCACAATAAAAGTTTTTGTTTACATAATATATGTATGTGTACTGTGTATATTTATTATGTATATATAAATACACACACATACAGTATATATTTTGAAAATATTTACATGTTTATACATTTATATATTCATATTATTATATTTTTTATTATATATAAATATATTTAATATATAAACATAACATATTTTTCTTAAATATATACATGCATGTGTTTGTATTTATATATAAATAATAAATCACACAGTATACATATA